GGAGGAAAGAAGGAAAATAAGAAATAGAGGAAAGAAGGAAAGGGAAGGAAGGAAGGAAGGCAGACTCCCCACCTTCCAGAGCCCAGCTTGGGGTCTCTCCTGCCCACCGCTTCTCAACCCCCCCCCCCCATCTGCTCCCCCCCTCCCCCAGGGCGCCTCTTCCAGCCTGGTGGTGAAATTCGCAGACACGGAGAAGGAGCGGGGTCTCCGGAGGATGCAGCAGGTGGCCAACCAGCTCGGCATGTTCAGTCCCATCGCACTGCAGTTTGGAGCATACAGCGCCTACACTCAGGCAGTAAGCGGGATGAGGGCCCTCCTGCTCCCCCCCCCCCCCAAAAAAAACCCCATTCTCCCAGGTGTGGGGCAGGGCGGAAACACCAGTGGGGGCTGAGCTCGGCCGCCAGCCTGGCTCTGGGGATCCCGGAAGGGCCCTGTGTGTGTATGGGGGAGGGGGCAAGGAAATGGGAGGGGGACCCCCCCTTGAGACTCCCCTCTGCCGTCCACAGCTGATGCACCAGCAAGCCGCCTTGGTCGCCGCTCACTCGGCCTACCTCAACCCCATGGCGGCCGTGCAGATGCAACAGATGGCCACCCTGGCCCCCAACGGGCTCATCGCCACCCCCATCACCCCCTCCTCAGGTAAGGAGGGCAGGGGCTCCGCCTGGCCCAGCTCTTCCTCTCTCCATCCCCCAGGCTCCTCAATTCTGGGGATGGACACACACACACACACACACACACACACACACACACAAAACTTCTAACATTGGTCCTTTGCTCTGCTCTGGGGGGGGCAACAGACACCCCCCCAAAACCTCCTGGGGAAGTGGGTAGGGGGCTCTCGATCTTTGGTGCGTTGAGTGGAGCAAAGGGGAGCCGGGTGCAGAGCACACGTCGGGATGCGTTGCAGACCTGGGTTGGGTTGGGAGCTGCGGGAAAGAGACCCCCCCTGCAGCTCCCAAGTGGGTCTCTCTCTCTCTCTCTCCCCCTCTCTCCCCCCCCCCCCCCTTGCAGGAAGTAGCACCCCGCCCACCATCACGGCCACCCCGGTCTCTGCCATCCCGGCCACCCTCAGCGTCAATGGCTACAGCCCCGTCCCCACGCAGAGCACGGGGCAGCCGGCCTCCGAGGGCCTCTACACCAACGGCGTCCACCCCTTCCCAGGTACCCCTGCCCATCCCACCCCCCCCCCCCCCCGCTCAAAAGGCCTAGCATTTTTTAAGCCGACGGAGGACACAATCTCGGCTAGGAAAACATTGCCGAGTTTAGAACGGTGGGCATAGTTTGAAACTTAAACCCTACCTGTCCAAGCCTCCCTATTCGAAGGTAGTGTACCTGTGAGGCTCAGAGGCCCGGGCTTAGAGAAAAGGCGAAGCTCGTGGTGGGGGCGGGGGAGGGGAGGGCGTGCTCGGACATGTGGAAACCACCGCAACTCTCTTTTAAGTGTGCGTTGTCGTCCCCTCTCCCGCCACCCCCAATGCCACAGCACAGAGCTCGGCCGCCCCCGTGGATCCCTTACAACAGGCCTACGCCGGGATGCAACATTACACAGGTAAGGACAGGTACCCAGGTACACCCTTCAACCCCCCCCCCCCCCCCCCCAGGTCTGGAGACGCCTCCCCCTCCGAAAGCTGACCCCTTCCCACGCTTCCTCCCACAGCTGCCTATCCCACCGCCTACGGACTGGTCAGCACCGCCTTTCCCCAGCAGCCCGCTGCCATCATCACCCAGCAGGCGCCCCCCCAGCAGAGAGAAGGTAAGGTTGGGGTCTGGGACGTCCCTCCCGCTCCTCCTCTTCCTCCTTCCCAGATCAAGCCAGCGGTCATCCCAGCCGCAAACTGCCCGTGGCAAACAAGAAGCAGGGATGATCCCGTTGGGGGCTGTAATACCCTCAGGAACCACTAGAGGGCAGTCAAAGGGGAGGTTTTGCTGCCCCCTGGTGGAGATCTGGATTTTTTCTTTTTTGCAAAGAGATGAATGCAGAGTTAAATTTAACACTCAACCGCAGCACCTTGGAGGTGTGTGGGTTTTAGTTCCCAGAATTCCCTGGTCAACGTGCTGGCTAAGGGGATTCTGGGAGTTGAAGTCCACACACTTCTTCAAGTTGCGAAACTTCTCTAGGGGCGGGGAGTTAGTAGCAATAGCACAATCAATAGTATTTTTTCTGCAACTATGGTTGCACCACACCCCCCAGATTTCCGTCTCTTTTACCTGCTGCTTTTCTGCCTCTTACGCAGACACAAAATTCAGAAATGTTGAGGTTTTTTTGCACAGCTTGAGCCGCCCCTCCGAAGGCCAACTTCCTCCCCTTGCAAGCAAAAAACAACAACCAGAAGCTACAACCTGGTTTGTTTTAAAGGTCTTCTAACCAAAGTTACATCTGGCGTTTTAGGGAAAGAAACAGAGGCAAGCAAAACCAAAAAAAAAATAATGTCACGACAATTTTCGCAACCTGGTTGCGAAAGCCTCCTCGAAGGGTTGGTTGGTGTTGAGCTGAGGATATTTTGCAACCGTCCATCTGTCAGCGTTCCAGAAAACCAACCAATAACTCCAAGACAGACAACGTCTCCAAAGTTATTTTTATCTGAGTAGTAAACAGGCACATCTGGGGAATCCCGAATTTGAAAGTTTCAGGTTTTCTTGCAATAAGTAAAAAATTTACAAATCCACCCCCTGCACCCCTTCATCGCATCACATGCCCCAATCGCCATCCAGCCCAACTTGACACTTCCCCTCACCCAGGTGCAGAAACGACATGACCTTGATTGAGAAAAAGAATGCTATTATGTCTAACCATATACGCTCCAAGAAATTCCCCCCTCCCACTTTCCCAGGCTCAAGAATGTAGCAGTGTGGAAGTGTCTGGTGCTAGTATGGCTTCCAAAGCTGACGGCCGTCCTCATATTGTGCTCTTGCCGATCCGTTTCTCCTCCTCCTCCTCCTTCCCGACGATTCGGTTTTCTTTTGCAGGTCCTGAAGGCTGCAACATCTTCATCTACCACTTGCCGCAAGAATTCACCGATTCGGAGATCTTACAGATGTTCCTCCCCTTTGGGAACGTCATTTCGGCCAAAGTTTTCGTCGACCGAGCGACCAATCAGAGTAAATGCTTCGGTAAGGAACGTCTTGGGTCTCCGATGGGCGGTTCGAGCCTAGAAGTCTCCATCATCTCCACCTTCCTTGGTCCCAAGGAATGGCCATTGAGTGGATTTCTCCAACTTGTATTTATGACGGTCGCAATGTCTTCTTTTGTCCCCTTTTGCGACCTTCTGACAGGCAAAGTCCGTGGGGAAGGCGGATTTGCTTAACAACCGTGGGACTCAACAGCTGCGGTGATTCCCTTAACAAGCGAGGTCGTACAATGGGGCAAAATTCACTTAACCGATGTTTCACTTAGCAACCAAAATTTGGGGCTCAATTATGGTCATAAGTCGAGGACTACCTGTTTCTTGATTAATCCTATGAAGGACACAAGCAAGGGGAGTATGGTAGATTCCCAACTGCTCTAATTAAATCATGATTCTCGAGCCAAACTTTCAAAAAACTTCAAAGGATTCATTAGAGGCGACATACTGGCACTCAAAAAGACCATAGATGTCAACTAAAAATAATAATAATACTCCTTTGGTCTTTTTAGTTGCCAGCAGAAAGAGAGTTGGGAAAGCAGTGCATTCCTTAAATGCTTCAGATAATTGCTAGGCAGCCGAAGCTGTTGGCGCGCAAGATTATTACCAGAGAGCATGATTGGGGACTCTTGGCTATGGATGCGTCCCATTGGAGAATATACATCCGGGGTGGGGGAAGACCAGGGTCAAGAGGGAAATGAATGATGTGTCAGAGTTGGCTGCAACCAGGAAATGCCGACATGGCCACTCCTAATAAACCATTTTTTTTTTACTCCGAGAGATGCGGCTAGAGACTTGTGAGTTGAATGGGGGTGTATGTCAAAGTCTTGACAATAGAATTATGAGTTGACACCTGGCCCTTCTCTTTCTTCCCCTCCCCCCCCCTCTCTCTCTTCTGCAGGATTTGTAAGTTTTGACAATCCCACCAGCGCGCAAGCCGCCATCCAAGCCATGAACGGCTTCCAGATTGGGATGAAACGGTTGAAGGTTCAGTTGAAACGCCCCAAAGATGCCAACCGGCCGTACTGAGCCCGCTGCCTGCCAGGTGGGTTCCTCGGCCGATCGACCAGCTGCGGAAAACTCGAACCCAGGGCTCGGGTGACTTTACAGGTTCTGTATTGAAGGCTCTTCCTGAACCTGGCTGGTTTCTCAAAACCGACTGGGCGGGTCGGGGGGGGGGGGGGGGCGGGAAGACGAGCCAAGTGAGGCCACCCAGTTTCCACCTGCCGTCAAAAATCTCTGGGAATTTCTTCGGCTGTTGTTGTTGTTTTTTTCTGCTGGTTGCTTTAACCGGCTCCTTCCCTTCTTAATTTCTGGAGGAAATATAATTTTGTCCTGGAAAGGATTGAAACTTGCAATGGGGCAGGCTTGGCGTTGTGCTTCTGTGGGTGTATAATTTCCACCCTGTTGTAGCTCCAACAGAGTTGGGCAGCTAGAAATATATATATATTTTTTTGAATAATTAGAGGTCCTCGTTTAACGGCGGCCTCACTTTGCAACTGCAGGGTCCTCAAAAGTCACTGAAAGGTCAGCCAAAAAAAATTAGAGGGTGTCTTCTCCTTCAACCAGATGTTTTAGTGACTGTTTGGAGCTTCAACAGCCCTAAAAAAAAAAAAGGTGACTTCTGAGCAGTCCTCACCCTTATGACCGCTGCGGCATCCCGACTGTCACGGGATCAAAATTTAGGCCTTTGGAAATGTATTTATGACGGTTGCAACATCCCGACCAACAGTCAATGGGGGAAGCCAGATCCATTTAACAACTGCAGTGTTTTTGTTTAACAACTGCAGTAGAAATGGTCATAAAATGGCTTAATAGCCACCTTGCTTAAGGGTGGAGATTCTGGCACCCATTGATGTAAATCGAGGACTTCCAGTAGAGCTGGCAAATATTTTTGAGGAGACTTGCGTAACACACTCTGACCTGATGGGGTTTCCTTATATACCCCATTGCAAAATTGACCCCGTGCCCCCCTCCCACCCACCCACCCCCCAAAATTGGGGGGGGGGGCGGACGGTTCAACATGGGCAGCTTCAAATGTTCCTGTCTTGTCTCCCTGAGTGTGTAAGTAGCAATGCCATTTTCTTTGGATCAATGTATTTTTTAAAAAATAAAAAAAATCATCTCGTTCGGAAATAAAAAATGAAACTTTTTTTTAAAAAAGAAAAAAAAAGAGGGGGTTGGAGAATGATTAATTTTGTCTAGCAAAAAGACATTTTTTAAAAAATAAAAAAAAGAAAAAGGAAGAAAACCAAATTCCCCCCCTTTTCTCTCTCTGCTGTCCGAAAACTCCGCAATCCCGCCCTCCCTTCGGCAGGGGGCCAATCATATCTTGAGACGACTCTGTTGCTAAGCCACCCTTCGTTGTCGCGGGAGACCTAGCTCCGCCCCCCTTGTAAGTTGCATCTTGTGGAATGAACACAAACTAAAAGTTGGTTGTCTCCTTTTCTCCTTCCTCCTCCTCCTCCTCCTCCTCCTCTTATTCCTCCTTTGGTTTGGAAAGGCCAAATCCGGTGTCGTGTCAATCCGAGTTGCACATTTTTATTTCTTATTTTTTGCATGACGAAATAGCATTTCTTTGGATGTGCTGTGAGTTTCTGGTTTGTAGTTTCTTGTTTGGTGAAGTGCTGTTTCCTCTCTCTCTCTCTCTCTTTCTTTTACTCTCTCATTCTCTTTCTCTTTCTTTTACTCTCATTCTCTCTCTTTCTCTCTCTTTCTCTCTTTTTCTTACTTTTGTTCTCTTTCTCTTCTCTTTCTTTCTCTCTTTCTCTCTCTCTTTTTTACTCTCTTTTTCTCTCTCTTTCTTTTCTTAGTCTCGTTCTCTCTCTTTCTCTTTTTCTCTCTCTTTCTCTCTCTCTCTCTTTCTCTTTCTTTTTCTTACTCTCGTTCTCTCTCTTTCTTTCTCCCCCTCTCTCTCGTTCTCTTTCTTTCTCTCTCTCTCTCTGCCTCCTGACAAAGCATGCACGCAGGCAAAACTTGCGACACACATGCACCCAGAAGTTCTATGACAACTTGCCGTGGGAAAACTTGCTTATATATAAAAATAAATAAATACTGGAATTGACTCTATAAAGAAAGGACGCCAAAGGAGGGACAAAACAAATCCTAAATGACAAAAATAAAAACAATTTTTTAAGATTTTTTTTTTTCAAATAATTCAATGTAATGGTGCAATTGTCCTGCGGCGAGTTGACCTCCTTGCAGAATCAAAGGCAGCTTGATTCCCCCTTGCAGATGAATTTGGTGCAAATTGCATCTGTCAAATATTGAAAAATATAGAATATATATGTGTGTATACATCTATACCCAACATCCCTCCCCTTTCTCTTCCTCTGCTCTTCAGGTCTTCTCAGCGTGAGAACGCCATTGTTGTCACTGTCCACCCTCCCGGGCTGTGCTTTTTCTGCCGTTTTCTTGCCTGTGCCGTGTTTTGCTCGTCTGGGTGTGGTAGTTCATTTGTTATGACACATCGGTTCTGTGATGCTCTGTGACGATACGTGCAAATCTCCGGCAGCTTTTTCGTGTCCGCCTCTCTCTTCCCAGCCCTGCCACCTCCTTCTTCTGCCTTTTGCTCCACCAAGCTCCTTTGGGGTGGGGGATTCGGGGGTCCTACGTTCCAAATTCAGGCTGTTTGATCATGGAGAGACGGGCTTGCCCCTCAGGAAAAAGATTCCTGCTGGTTCCCACGACCAGAAAGAAGCCACTAATGGTGGAATTTCTAAATTGAATGGACCGAGTAAATTGTTGCCGGGAGCGGATTGAATGCTTCTCGGCCAATTTCAAAGAGAAGCGGGGAAGAGACACCCCCCCCCCAAAAAAAAGACACCCTTCAAAAGGGTCTTTTCAGAAGCAAAGATTCTGGTTTAAAGGCCGGACAGCTGCGAAGGGTGTGAGCTTGATTTCTGTGCAAGTGGGATGGCTAAAACCAAGTTCCTATTCCACGTTGAAAGGCCCACTGGCCCGGGATTGGAGAATGCAAAGAAGGTCGTGTTTTGGACCCACCAGGTTGCAACCATCTCCGGGATGGAACTTCTCAAGGTGGACACGGTCCTTCTCCCCTTGGTGGGACAAAGGAGGGACCCCAATTCTGGGGGAGCTCAGCTTGCAATTTCTTCTCCCCCTACCCGTCTTCCCCAGTTTTGTCTCCATCTACCCCTTTCTCTTTCTCTCTCTCTGTCTCTATTCTTTCTCTCCATCTTTCTCTCTGTCTCTCGTCTATTCCTTTCTCTCTCTCTTTCTCTCTCTCTCTTTTGTCTCTATCCTTCTCTCTGTGTGTGTGTGTGTGTCTTGATCTCTTTCTCTTTCTCTCCATCTCTCTCTCTCTCTCTCTTGTCTCCATCTATTCCTTTCTCTTTCTCTCTCTCTCTCCCCATCTCTTTCTGTCTCTCGATCTCTTTCTCTCTGTCTCTTTGTCTTTCTCTCTCTCTCTCTGTCCTCCTTGCTCCGGTTCGTTGTCATCGTTGTCATTGTGGTCATCGTTGTGGGTCTCTCCTGTGTCTCGTTTCCTCTCTGTATTTGTCGGCCTGTGTGTCTGTGTGCGTTTGTGTTTGTGGTCACATGGCATAGTCTGGGTGAGGAGCTCCACAAGGCAGTTCTCGGGAAGCGTGGTGGCTTTGAGGCCGGACTCTGCTCACAGGGGTGGTGGGGGGTGGCTGTCTAGCATCCCACCCACCCATTTTGTGCAGGGTTTCTTTTTTGTTTGTTTGCAATATTTTCTGACGGCTGGGAAGCCCAAAGGTTATTAAGACCCCGTCTCTCTTCCCTTTCACGAGTCCTAGCCGGGATGACAGTTGAGGTGGATAGAATAAATGCGGATGGATTTCAATGCCCCCCCCCCAAAAAAAACCTTAGTTTATTTAAGGAAAACGGGCCAAACCAAGCAACTTTTGAACCTTCCTTGCACCCAGGGTAAATTCAACCAGGTGTCCTGAGCAATGGCTGGTTCTCTGCCATCCTGGTTCTCTCTTCTCGGCATCCTGAGAGGGAGGCCAAGGGGGTTTCTCTTGACATGGTCCTTGCATTTGGAGGCCTGGCTGCTGGGATCTTGGGCAAAAAAAATTAAAAAGGGGAGACCCATGGATTTTGGAGGAGAAGAGATGAGGGAGACAATGGACAGCAAGGTTTTGGCCTGGGGATGCTCCTCTGGGGAAAGACAGAAAGGAAGGAGGAGGTGGATTTGGGAGACAAGATCCCAGCTAGACTGGCCTCCCTGCATGTCCTTGGCCTCCACTCCCTCCCAGTCTCTGTAATCCAGTGGAAAAGCCAAGAAGAGCAAAGATCTAAGGTAGCTTCCGTTCTCTTGTCTCCCCTCTAGGTCTGGAGTTCAAAGTAGAAGCCATCTCCGCTTCACCTTTGTCGCCCTCTCTCCAACGGCCCCCGTTTCCTTCTTCTCTCTGCTCTTCTTCTTCCTCATCCATCTCCTAGCAAAACGGCTTCTTCCGGCCATCGGTTGCTTTCCTCGTTGACTTGACCCCGTTGGCCATCGAGGCTTCTTCAAGGATGGAGTCCCACCAGAACAGCTTCTTCTCCTGCTGCCTCCTCTCCGGCGCGAAATCCATGCCTCTCTCTCCTTTAGGTCCAACCAAGGAATGCCAGGTTGGGGGGAGGGGAGGGAGACCTGCCTCAAGAAGGTCCCTTCTTGGTCAACGGTGGAACGATGGAGCGTGGAGACTTGGGAAGAAGTAGGACATTGATTTTTGGATGGATTTGAGATGGACTTACTCGAGACGGGTGGATTCAAGATCGGAAGGCAGCCACTTTTTTGGGTGGGGGGCTCATCCTCACAGCATCTTCCCCCCTCCCCACTTTCCTCAACTCACAGCATCTTCTTGAAGGCATTGGGGAAGGTTGGGTTGACGTCAACGGTCCAAGCCAAAATTCAGCTACCTCTAACTTTGTACGTCTCAACCACGCAAATGGCCCTTGCAAAAGAGGGGGAACAAACCCCCGCTCTCCAGATGCTACCAAAAGGCCTCCCCGAGTCTCCCTCACCCTAAGCCACGCTAGCCAGAGTCGATGGGCATTGTAGTCCCAGAGGTTTGAGAAAACTGCAGGTTTCCCGACCAGTTTTCTAAGCTCCCTGAGACGGATTATTCAAAGGATAAGTTGACGGTTGCCAAAGAGGAATTTCCCCCAAATAACTAGAGAAGGAAATTTCTCCCCCTCAACTCCTCACAAAAGGAAGTGGAGGAATTTTGAATATTCATTGCTAATAATGTCGATAATGTTTGACATTAATTGCCTATTTTTTTACCCCCCCTTCTTCCCCGCAGCCCCCTTATCAGATTCTTTTCTGGATTCGGAGCGTGCTTGCTTCCAAAATTTTGGAAAAAGACGAGTTTTGGAAGTTTGAAAGGATTATTTTTTTTCTCTGCTGCAGAGACTTAAGTGATGGAGATGAAGGTCAGGGGAGAATGCAGGGAGGCAACCTCCTCGGTGGGGGAGAAAAAAAGCTTTGAAATTCAAACCACGACGGCTTTGTTCTAAAAGTTAGTTTCCTGCAGCGAGCAAAGATGCAAACAAGCTTCCAATTAAACCAAGGTTTCTCAACCGTAACAAGTGGACGATGGGTGGACTACAACTCCCAGGATTCCCCAGCCAGTGGGGAATTCTGGGAGTGGTAGTCCACCCATCTTCAAGCTTGCCAAGATTGCATCCAAATTAGTTTTCTTTCTAATGGCCTTTGGGGGGTGGAAATTGAAAACTGGGCAGGGGTCCCAACGGGGTTGAAATGGCTCGTGTTTTGGGGGGTAAAACCATCCATCCTTTTTTTTTTTCCCCTTCGTATGGACGGACGGATGCTTCTTTTTTCCAAATAAAAACAAAATAAAAAATAAAAAAAACCAAAGGGAAGGAGGAGGAGGAGGAGGAGGAGGAAAAATGAAGAGGAAGGGGGAAGTGAAGTCCCATCCACAATGTGAAAGCCGACCGAAGATATCAGGGCTCCATTGTAAAACTTAAGACAAAACTCCAGATACGATAAGACGGATCACGCCGGGTTGCTGGTCCATTCCAGAAGACCCTCTTTTGTGGGGGGGGGGTCTCCATTGCATCATGACCCGACTCTCCCTCCCTCCCTTCTTCTTGACCGCCTAATCTACAACTCTCTTTACGCAACCCCCCCAAACTCTGCTCCCCAAACTCTGCTTCCCACTTTCCGGAATCGCTTGGCGTGTGTATAAAACGATCTCCAAGGAGCTCGGATTTCTGGTCCCTCCCGAGGAAGCGAGCTTCACCTGCGTGTTTCTGCCGGCAACGTTTGTCTTTTTAACGCCTCCGAAACGCAGAAGGGTCCCACCTTTAAAAAAAAAAGAAAGGGGGGAAAAAAAACGCCAGAAAGAGCAGGAAAAAAAATGTTTACAGTCTCTTTTGCTGATCCAGTAATTGTAAATAATTCCATTGAGATTTAGCAGCAATTAATATTTTTTGGGAGGGGAGAAAACTAAGTTTCGATCCTTCGGTCTTCTTGTTTTTGATCTTAGAACAGTTTCAAAACTTTCTTTTCTTTTTCATTCTTTCTCTTTCTCTCTCTCTCTCTCTCT